ATGAGTAATCTTATTAATTGTTGCTTTTCTGAAGCCTTTGCTCACACGCATGATCCGTGTCTAAATGGTACTGCACAACTTGGGACTTGCTGAGAGAGAAGCAATGTTTGGTGGTCAGGCCAGGTCTCAATGAAGCAGTTACTGTCCATGCCAGGGAAAGTCCTGCCTCTAGGCAGCTCTCATGCTCAGACCAGCTCTGTTCTCACTGCTGTGCACTGGCATCATACAAACAGGAGGCTGTGGCTTCACAGAACACCACAGGCCTCAGAAGACCACTTGAGGAGGAAAGTATGAGAGGAGATCCACAAGACCAGACTCAGGCAGGCCTGGATCATATGGGCTCACATGCTGCCTTTGAACAGCTCACATCACAGAGCAGAGGCCACAACTAAAAATACAGGGAGGATAGAGTCTCCCTTCCGGGGCTCTCCTTACTGCATTCAACCTTCTTCACTCAGGATCCAGCCAGCCGTGTTGCCTGTAGCCTCATCTGGCATCCCTGGCCACAATCTTAACATCAGGATTTTAAGGCAACATAAGCTAAGACAATCAGGAAGCAATTTTTTACTGCAATTTCATCTTCATTGCTGAAAGGGATAAGGGCCACCACTGCTGGCTAAGACAGCTGTGCCCCAGAGATATGGCAGGAGAGGGGGTGGCTGTAGGCTCCAGGGATATTTCAGCCCTTGTTGCAAGAGTGCTTGCTGGGCATGGGAGGTGAATGCTTATAGATGGCCAACTTCCTGTGGAGGGAGGTAAATCCTATTCTGTCACCATTTCATTACCCTTGGCTCTCAACATGGAGTTAAGCAGGCATGCTGATGGCCAGCAGACTACCTCCTTACCGTGTAAAGGGAAAGGAGTGAGGTAAGAGGATGAACAAACAAGCAGTGGTAAGCAGCTAGGACGGAAAGTGCACTAGGACTGGACAAAGCAAAAAAGCAGTTTCTATACTAGAAGACGGACTGCACCTCTGGAACACTCAGCTCATGTACCTCAGACCTGCCCCTGCAATTGCTCACACCCCGTCTCTCGCCCTAGCAAGGACAATGGTGAACTGTGCTTGTCAGCACACACCATGCACGAGACAGTATACTGGGTAATATGGGTGTTGTGTGCGTGCTTGTACAGAGACATACACAAGTGTTCATACAAAAACTATAGTTAGATATATATACAGAAAGATATGCACACTATAATGTACATTATATTAGTAAACTGTAAGGTGCTGTTTGAGCTTGCTGAAAAGCTGCCTGGGAAGTGGGGCTACTCCCCCACTTTCAGACCTAATAAAGTGTGTTTCAAGCTGTGTTCTCCAAGATGGCTTGTCTGTGGATGGTCTCCCTGGGCCCCAGCTCAGTGACCAGGAAAAACAAAACAAAACAAGCAGAAAAATAACACAAGAGTAAAAACATTATATCCTTTAGAACAACTAGAAGGTGAACCATTTCCAACAGCATTACCATCCCTTATCCCACGATATAAAGGTGCCTGTGGTGGGAATGGGAAGTCAGACACTTATCAAGAGAGATAAGCAGAAACTCCTGCTAGCTGCCTCCCTGACTTGGTGTTTTCTGTCTATCTGTCTGCCACTGGCTATTTATGCTTTTATCTTGCTTTGCTATATACTAATAAACTCACTCATTTAAAAAAAAAACCCCACAGCTATCAAAAGCATCCTCCAGATTATAGAGCACACACACACACACACACACACACACACACACACACACACACACACTTGAACATTCAAACGTTAGCACAAATTAAAGAACTGGTTGTCTCCCCAATTTCCCCCACAGTCCTATGTTGGTTGTGGACTTGCTACATAACAATGTTAAGGAAACTGCGTAGGGATCCAGCATCATAATGCTTTTCTCTAGGACTTCTGGTTTTTTAGCACCTCTAGATAAAGGCGCAGGAGCGACTACTCCATCCAGAAAGGTCTGGCAGGCCTGGGAACCAGCAGAGCCTCTGTACCCTCATGAGGTTGTAATAGATGAGCCTTGACATAACATGGACTTCTACAAGAGACCTTGTGCCCATGGCATGTGCTCCTGCTAAACCCAGGGGCAATGAGGACTGGGGCTACAGAGTTGGGATCTCAGAGCTCTTTGCACTCTCCTGCTGTCTGGCTCCTGATGGGCCTCCTTTTCTATTGCAAGTCAGAGCGTTCTGGCTCCCACCAGCTGCGTAAAAGCCAAAGGGAAGCCCAAAGAGTTCACACACCCTCAGGGTCTGCCCTGGGCCCCAGTTGGCCCCTCAAGGGAATTGGTTTATTAGAACACCCAGCTGCTCCAAAGGTCTAACCAAAAAGGCACTTTGTGCCTTTATCTAAAGTGTTCATACACCTGGTCTTAGAAAGCCACGTGCAAAGAGGTTCCTCCACAAGAATACGTACAGCGAACTTATGAACCAAGACCAAAGACCTATGAAACAGTTTGGGAGGCAGCTCAAGGAAGAAAGGGCTGCACCAACCCTGGGGCCAAGCCTATCCCAGAGGTTTGGAATCCCACCTATGGGGTCTCCCTCACAGACAGCCAGACCTTGCACTCCGCTTAGCAGCTGCAAACCTCCAGTGAAGTCGCAGCACCCAGAGGACACTAGCCACAACTGTCTTCTGGCACTGTGGGATCTTTGGACACCAGTGACATGCCTGCCTGATAGGAACCCGGCCCAGGGCCCAACAATGTCCTGGCTGAGTCTAGGACTTTTAGAAAATGCATCTGAGTGTTTTGCCTGGATGTATATATGTGCATTACAAGCATGCCTGGGGGCCCTCGAGGCCAGAAGATGATATCAGATCTCTTAGAACTAGTTATGGCAGTATTGAGCCACCATGTGGGTGCGGAAGCCAACCCATGTCCTTTGAAAGAACAGCAAATGCACTTAATCACTGAGCCATCTTTCCAGGTCCCTAAACCAGAACTCTTTACAATCACATAAGGATTGTCTCAGACCTGGTTATCAGGACTGGATAAGTAAGGCCCACCCACCTCCTGAGACCATAAATTACCACATAGGGAGCCAAAGCAGGCAGAACCACACAGCCCTATGGAGAGAGGGATGGCCAGAGGTAGGTACTTAGTGGGACATGGACCAGGATTCACAAACTCCATCCTCAGGACCTGACTTCTGACGATACAGTACACATTCCCAGGGAACCCTCTCCTTTCCCTGTGCCTTGTCCCACCTACTACTCACAGCCAAGCAGCCAGCCACAGCAGACAGGCTGAACCAGGGTGGCCTTCTCAGACTTCAGTGCACCTTCCTGGATCTTGGAGGCTTGCCTGGAACTAATGAGGCAATCCATACATTCAGGCACAACCCCACTGAGCAATATATTTTTAAATAGTTCTACGCCGGTGAGACCAGAAAATGTCTTCAGTGATGCAGCGGTGTTATTCCAGCTTGTGGCTAGTGAAATCTAATAACACATGTAAAGCTGGTTTTATTACCTTTCCAGCTTATTCACTAAGAAAACATGCTCGACATTAAAAAGGCAACTGAGGCTGCGCATTGTGCCCAGAACTCGGGGCTCAGTGTCTCCTTCAGGGGTCACCCAATGCTATCCCCCTTCAACCTGTTTCAGTCTATCTGGAGATGGAAAATTCCTCTTGGTAGCCAACACATGTTCAGTTACTATCCAGTGAGCAAGTCAGAAAGGTCTGCCACACAGGAAGAAGGAAAGGCCTCTCTTGGAGCCAAGACAGAAGTCATGAAAGCCGGACATGGAAGGAGGCAGGAGCTCTGTCCCATGCTGACCCATGAGCACAGGGGTGGCACAAGCACATCACCAACTTGTCCCCAGTTGTTTTGGACATGAGCTGGGCTCATATGTAAAGGTGGCTCGAAATTATGGACTCTGTGGCCACCTCGGATACAGGCACCTGCACCTTGTCTTCAGTGGGCCTGATAGGCTTGGAGAATTAAAGAAATACAAGGCAGCTCCATGGAGAGTCTGCTGTAGGATGAAGGCTCCCCTGGGGAAGGGGAGGGCGGAGCATGACAGTATGGGGAACCAAAGATTGCTTGTTGGTTACACCTGCCTGATGCAGAACAGACACCATGAGCCTGCCTGCCCTGGCTCTGGCCATGTCTGAAGAGCTTGGCCAAGTCTGCTGAGACACTCTCTTACTAGCAAGCAGATCCTCATTTCCTCAAACCAAATAATTGTATTGAGCAAGAGGCTCTCCCAGATGGTCATGGAGCCAGTAGTACCATGTTTTACCCAGCACAGCCACCCATCCTAGGGTTTATTAATCACAAGGGCCATCCTATGACTTCCATAGCAAGAACCAAATGCAGCCACCCCTCAGGCTCTAACACTATCCTGATGATGGTGTCTGACTCCAAACTCATCTTATTCAGATCAGTACCCAAGACAAGTGTTAGCACGAGGCTGGCCTCCAAGAGGGACAAAGGCAGAGGAACAGGAGCACATGGGAACGGCCCCTCCTACAACCAGTGCTAGTGACAGTTGCGGACTACCAGTTTCTTGGTAGTCTCAATGTTTGACAGTCTAATCAAAGAGAGCAATCACTTCCCACCTTCTCTAAAGTCATCATTCATGGCCCTGATCTAGGGATCAGCATAATCCAAGTGATACTGAACACTGGTGTGTGGGTTCCAGAAGAGGAGGTACTAGCAAAGGGCTAGAAGAAGATTAATTAGTGTTTGGTCACATTGGATTCCTAGCCAATGCCTGCCTCTCACCATCTGTCTACTCCTGTTCCACTAGCAATGAGCTTAACAGGGAAAGAGCACACCTCAATTTAAATGGAGAGAACCAAGTACTTAAAACCAAAAAAAAAAAAAAAAAAAAAAAAAAAAAAACCAAAAACCCTAAAGTCATTTTTTTGGAGAATATGTTTAAGGAAACTGATCCTTGAACATTTCTGAAAGTGTCACTGTGTACTTAACTGACTGGACCAGGACCAGAATCCCAGAGAACAGTGAGGTGCTCCTGGAAGCCTCTTCTAGGACACTGAGGTACTTACCTGTGCCATCTTGGCAAGGTCTAGAGAAGGTCTTTGCTCCTGCACTTCGTCCGGACGCCGCCGTTTCACACCGATCTTCTTGTCATTAAGGACACACGGCTGGGAGCGGCTGCGAGCAAGCCCACTGGAGCGTCTTGCCAGCTCTGGCGTTGAGGCAGGTGTGCTGTTGGCTGAGGGAGGACAGTATTCTGGGAAGGAAAACTGCTCGTGTGAGCAAGAGAGGGACCGCTGCAGGTCCAGTCGGCCCCCTCCCACAGGGTGTGGGTCTGGGCTCCAGGCATCTCCCGCCTGTCCAGAGGGGGCTGAGCCTGGTGCTCCTTGGCAGGGCTGTCCCCCAAATCGGTGGTGCAGGCTTGACTGGTGGCAAGGTGAGGAGAGCCCATTGGCCCGGGCAGGGAGGCTGAAGCTAGAGCTCCGCTGCATGGGGCTGACACCATTGGAGTAGCGCTGGACGCTGCCCCCACTGTAGCATCTTCTCTTCTCCACAGGAGTCCAGACTTTGGACCCCAAGGGCCGCCATGACGTCCGGCAACTGGTCATCTCATCAGAGAAGGATAGTGACCGGCATTGGCGTTTGCTGGGAGGAGCTGAGGGGTTCCCGTTCTGGTCGCTTATGCTGAGGTCTTTGATTAGGCTGGTCACTGCACAGGCAGTCACCGCCTCCTGGTGCCACAGGGAGCCATCCTGACACTTTTCAGGCAGACATTCCCAGATGCTGGCGCTCGGCTGGTCAATCTGAAGAGGGCATTTTCTATCCAGGTCTCGCCATCTGTCATTTTCTGGTGCATAAATACAAAGAGAAAATAGGATCTGAGAGGCCTTCAGAACAGTGATATGTTCCTTTGCGAACAGCCTGGATGCTATATAGAACTTTGGCACCAGAAAGGTCCTCATAAATCAGTTCAACCAGTTCAACCTTACTCTATGGATGAAGAGTGAAGCCCAGAGACGGGTGAGGCCCAACATGCTGAGTGGGAAGCAGAACAAGGCATGGGATCCAGACCCATGCCTGACATTCCTGACCCAGCTTTCTTCCCAGCATCCCAAACCCAGACCTGGCCCTGTTCTTGATCCAGCTTTCCTCCTGACATCCCATGCTGCCTCCCATGATGGCAGCTTGTCCTGAGTTCTGCCCTGGTTGGTGGCAGAGTCAAGGGAGCAGTGTTAGTTAGCATATGGCAGAAGAGCATGATCAATACTGAGTCTCGGCTACCTCAGACGGTCAAGGTCAAAATGGGGCTGGGATACTGCTAGGTTAGCTTGTCTCAATTTCATCACCAAAACATTTGCTTATACATTTTTATTGTCTTATTTGCCTTCTACCAAAATATTCTACAATATCAGCATCTGCAACAACTGCCAATCACAACACTTTAATCATATTCATTTGCTTTTTTTGCTGAAACTAAGGACATTTAAAGCAGCTGCAATGGGTAAGCATAGCACTTAGATTGCAGGGTGTGACTTAAGCTCACTCAACTGTTTGAATGCATGAATCCACGGGCTAGCCCAACTGTGGAATGCAGGAGCTGAACTTGAACTTTTATTTCAGTAAAAACTTAAGAACAAATTATTGTTTTTCCACTATAGAATCAGGCACCATGCTGGGAATGTCAGGAGATGAAAGCTGTTGTTCAAGTTCTCAGATTTACAATACAAAAGCAAAGTTCAGAAGCATGCTGTTGAGTTAGCCCTGTCTCTCTTTGTGAATCTGGATGAATGTTAAGTTGGGAAGTGTGACAGCTTTAGCCAGGCAGTCAGTGGACCTAAAATAAAGCTGGAAATGGCTCACAGTAGGTTATTTAAGCGCCCCCAAGTGACATCTACAGCAACTCAGAACACTCACTGAGCATCCTTCTTAGACTTTAACATCCGTACAGCACCCTGCCCAGGGCAATACAGCCATATGACAAAATGAAAACCCAGGCCAGTATGACACTGGCCCTGCTTCAACACGTTTATGGTATAGGGAAGATGTACAATGGTTCAAAAGACGATCTCTAGGCAACGTACTCTCCCTAGGTGATAACACACTCTGGATAGCAAGACCTGTGAACCCAGCTCTATAGCGCCACTCTGTTGTTTCTTCCAAACAGGGTGTTACTCCACAGCCCAGGAGCCTTGAGTCTGTGGCAAAACTCCTGCCTCACTTTCTCAAGTGATGGAATTAAATATGAGCCACCTCGACCACACCTAGCTTACAGTGGTCACTTCTCAAAGGCCACTGAGATACACCCTGGACTGAATGTCACCCAAACAGGACCTAGTCCTCCAGGACGGTTCCCAGGAACCAAAGGAAGCCAAACCAAGGCTGGATATAAAGTTTCTTCTTCCAGACACTCTGCTGAGTCATGAGACAGATGACCTGAGGGGCTGCAAGTCTAGGCAGAGAACATAGGGAGAAACTACCCAAGGGTCTAAACCTTGAGAGCCTCAGGAGCTGGAGAGGCAGGAAAGAGATTTCCTGAAGTTTACCAAGCAGCTGGAAACAAAGCAGGACTCTGGGTGAAACTCAACTCAGAATCTTCCTGACAGAGGAAGCTCTGATGCCTATTCCTCTGTGAACTTCATAAATTATTTCCAAATATAAAATTTACCCTTCCCCACAAAAATAGCTCTTTGCAAGCTGCTTACATTGTTCAAGCATGTCTTCAGTACTTGTGGAAAACATTTCCTTCCAGTAGTCTATTCTTTTTGAATGTTTTCCCCTCCCACAAGTGTGTGTGTGCGTGTGTGCGTGCATGCATGCATGTATGCATGTGTCTGTGGTGTGTGTGTGTTTGTGTGTGTGTGTGTGTGGTGTGGAGGGAGAACAGTATCGGTGGTGAGTGGGGGTGGGTGTTCATGTATGTGTATGTGTAAACCAGAGGAGGACAACCTCAGATATTAGTCTTCCCATCTTGTTTGAGATAGCATCTCTCTTGTTCACTAATGAGCATGTTAGGCTAGCTGGTCAATGAATCTTCCAGAGATTTTCCTGTCATTGTCACTGTCTCCAATCCCTTGCTAGGGACCACTAGGATTACAGTGTCTGGCTTTTCTTTCTTTCTTTCTTTCTTTCTTTCTTTCTTTCTTTCTTTCTTTCTTCCTTCCTTCCTTCCTTCCTTCCTTCCTTCCTTCCTTCCTTTCTTTCTTTCTTTCTTTCTTTCTTTCTTTCTTTCTTTCTTTCTTTCTTTTTTTCTTGTGACAGGGTTTCTCCATGTAGCCCCTGCTCCCTTGCTGTCCTGGAATCTGCTCTGTAGACCAAATTGGCCTCAAACTCAGAAGTCTACTTGCCGCTGCCTTCCTTGGGATTCAAGGCGTGTGCCACAGCACCCAGCTCCAAAAAAAAAAAAAAAAGTTTCAATGGAATTAGTTTAGTGAACCAAAATAATAAATTCAAAATAAAAGAAATATAAACTAAACTGGGCATGGTGGTATAAGTCCAGCTTAATCTCAAGAAGTTGAAACAGGAGGACCAAGGTCAACCTGGATTGTAGAATGAGGAGAAATACAAATTAACACAGACTGAGTCATGACTATCTTTTATGGAAGGAGAAAGTGATCCTAGGAAAAAAAGTAGAAATAAAATCAAAATGATACGAATGACAGCAAATTGGTAAGTATAATTAAAATGTCCTACAGCAGGTGGCTGGTTAAACAGATTAGAGGGGAACAACACACAGCATGCAACAGTGTAGCTTCAAGGACTAGTTAATGGCGTGGGAAAACGCCAGTGATACAGTGATAAAGAAGCAGTGTACAAAGCCTAGGATTCCTATTTAGTAAAATACATGGTGTGCTATACATGTAATAAAAAGAAATAAACCAAAATGCTAATGACTGACTGTCAGGTGGCTGGTTAATTTATGCTTGCTTAGTTTGTTTTCCTTGTCTATACATTTCTTGGGAGGAAACTGGATTAATGAGCATGTGAGAGCGGTGGCTGCTGGAGCCTATGGTGCTGTGTTCTGCCTTAGTTCTGGGAAGGAGCCACTCTAGAACCAGCACCCAAACCTCATCTTCCTCTGGGTTCTCTCCTGTGGATTTTCAGGAAGTTGCTAGAACCAACTTCCATTTGAGGCCAAGACACTGAAAATGCCACAGGACTTAGGGGTGTGGCAGGCTGAGGAAGGAACCAGCAGGCCTATCCACAGAACAGTGGGGGACCAAGACGGTACCACAGCTGGTGCTCGGAAGCCTGAGACACAGGACAGAATGTGTCCTGGTCAAACGGGGGAAAAGGCATCAGTTTAGAAGGGGCTGATCCTATCTACAGAGATATTTTACTTGCTCTTCATTCTTTCTGACTACCAGCTCTGAAGTACAGCCCAGGATGGCTCTCCAGGGTCCTTCCCAGGGTTTGGTACATAGCAGATCTGGCAGGGGGTAAGAGGATGTGGAGGAGAAGCAGGTGACAAAATGAGGACAGAAACTGTGGAAGAGACTGTGCATGTTCACTTCTTACTCCTTGTCACTATCTCCAAGAGAGGCAACTAGTTAGAGTTAAATGAAAGCTGCCTGGAGAAAAGGCACTGCTAGTGTGTATCAATAGCATCCATGTGGCCACTCGTCTGCAGCACAGACTCTAATGGTTTCTAGCTTTATCTCTTTGAAAAGTATAATACGAAAAAGTAAAAACAATCAATGCTATGTTTAGCTCTTGAGTTTCCACCCTTCACTGAGGGTCCAGAAGGCAATTTGTTGGGTCAGGTCACCAGACAAAAGAACAGGAATAGAAGCTAATTTTTAATGGCAAACTGCCCTATGTGTGAAGCCCCAATTTAACAGAGCACAAAGGGCTCTGAGAAGAAGCTAGCGCGTGCCCCCACCCTGCCATTCAATATCACTTCTGCATAAACAACTGGAACTCTTTCCAAAGTGACAAAGGCCATGGATGTGGAGGGGCCATTGAGCAATGGTCACTTGATATGGTTAGGAAGGACATGACCCTTGAATCTCAGTTCTGCACATTTCTTAATCTATGTCAGCTGCTGAGAGAAGGTGCAGGCCCAGCAAAGTGCACAGAGCAGTCTCTTAGACGTAGGAGCAACAGTGTAATTCTGAAAGGACAGCACCGAAAACATGTTTGTGTTTAAGATCTGCTCTTCTGTACCTGGGTGCCAATGTCTGTGGGTAGACTCAGGCTGAAAAGGGAACTGGTATTTTCTGTACTAGGGATTTTCCAAGGTATGGCTCCAGGATTGCCTGCTGGATCTTAAAGGGAAGAGGGGAGTAGAGATGTAGAATCTTGGTTGCCACAAATTTGATTCATAAGATTGAAGCTTTGGGTAATTAGAGGATGGCAAGCTTACAGAAAAGAATCTCTTTGTTTTTTAAGTCCTTAGAAATCCACATTTCACACCAGGTGGCAACTCCCAGGGCTTCCATCCCAAATGGCACACAGCCTGCATTATGGCATCCCTATTGTATCAACTTTCAGAAGGATCTTAAAAAGCTCCTCAATGTTCCCAGGGCACCCATGTTCACAAGTGTGAAATTCACACAGCGGTTGGACTGTGTGTGACTGCACGCATGTGTGTGGGTGCACACGAGTGTGTGTGGAGGCACAGCTATCACTTTGCCTATGGATGAGAGGATGAACCACACAGATATAAATGCCCAGCTCTCCTACAGGTGAACCACATGACTAAAATCCTTGCCAAAGCTGAGGCTCAGTGACTGAGCCTGAAGTTTGAGAGACAAAGACACAAACCCCAAAGTCACACTTACAGGACCCCATCCTGCTGCCCTGCCCACAGAGAGCAGAGGCTGGCAGGTACACAGATCTTGAGCTTTA